CAGCATCCATACTCCCACCCATGCATTTTCTCACCCATCTACCCGTCCTCCACCCATGCACCTGTGCAATCGTGGTGCTAACCACTTTGCTCTCGGATCTGGACCTGGGTAGAGAAGGAGTGGTCCAGTCAGCACGCACAAGGGTAGGGTTTGCATTGAGTCAAGGGAAACTGGGATTTAGGGGTGTGTGGGGTGGGTAGACCTCAGATGGAGGGTAGAACAATGCAAAGGTGGAAGCAGAGCCAACGTGGGGGTTACTGGAGAAGGGACTAGAAAGGGGGATGCTGGCACAGCGCTCCACACAGGCCGGATCCTAAACCTTCCGTAGCCCTGATAGGCCGGCTCGCCTGCTGGTCCCACCCAGGCAAGTCGCCTGCCTTTGTTTGGCTGTGGCAGAAATTAATTGGATTTGTAGCTTTGTTCTCTAGTGCTTTGTGGCCCCAGCTAGAGACGCTCCAATAAAAGTAGTAAAGGTTTATGGGCAGCAGTGTAATTCTCTCACCTTTAACAGGCCTGTTTTAGCTCCTTGGGTAGGGCAGGTGGAGGAAATGGCAAAGGAGAAATTCCGGGTGGCCACATATCCGAGATTGTTAAGGAACTCAGAGGTTGGAACATAAGACATCGATGCCTAGCATCAAGTCAGTGCCTCCTGCTCCCCTCTCTCCTGCTCTTTCTCCTCCTCCTAATTCGTGTGTGTGGATGTCCGACGACAGTCTTGGGGGCTGTTCCTGGCCTCCCACCGTGTTTGAGGCAGGGTCTCTTGTTCACCACTGCATACACGAGGCTAGCTGGACTGTGAGCTTCCAGTGAGTCCTGATTCCCCGTAATCGTTCTGGGATTATAGATGTGTACCACCCCCCCCAACACATATGCCCGCATGTGAAACACACACACACACACACACACACACACACACACACACACACACACACACACACAGAGCAGTTATTTCTCTGCGTGATGGTTAGGGTAGGCTCCAGGGACGGGAGTGGTTGTTCTGAATGCCTGGCCACTCCCCAGCAGTAGCGCAGGCCTTTTCCCATACCCACGCTGGGTTGAGAGTTTGCACGGGGTCGTGTCCTGCAGTACTTGCTACTGTTCCTCTGCATTCAGCATCAAAAGGTGCATCCTGGCCCTTTCCCACCGTGTCATTTTATGCACGCCACACTTTCATAGGATTTAATGGGGCTTTAAAACTTTTCATTTATATTACATATGAGGGGGACTTTTAATCATAAGTAAGAATTTATGATGATTGTCTGAATTTGGTTTCTGTGACCAAGTATCTGAGAGAAACAACTGTGGGGAGGAAGGGTTGGTTTGGGATCGTGGTTTTGCCACTTTCAGCCCATTGTGGTAGAGAGAGGGGGCATGGTGGAGCAGAGTGGAGAGACAGAGAGACATAGAGGAGAAGATGTAACACAGAGAGAAACAGAGACACATACATACACAGAGTCACACAGAGAGAATATGCCTGTGCCGCAGACTCTCTTCCCTTTCTCTCAATATTACTCCATCCAGCTCCCAGATGTGGGATGACACCATCCACATTCAGACACACCTGGGGTCTGCTTCCCTTCTTCTAGATGATTCTGTAATAAGTCTGGTCGAGTTAGCACTCAGGATTAACCACGGCCATATTTCATCTCTTATGTTATGGAGCAACATCACCCTTATTTGAAAAAGTATACCGAGACATTATATGCTATTCCCCAATCATGTACTCTCTATGATGTATTTTGTATCAGTTAAAAATAAATATTCTACCAGGCAGAGTGGCGCACGCCTTTAATCCCATAACTCGGGAGGTAGAGGCAGGTGGATCTCAGTGAGGCCTCCCCCAACTCCCAGTACATAATTTAAAAATAAAAAATTAGACATTTAGAAAGAGCAACCTGGCAGACACAGCAGTTAATCTGAGGGAAGATGACTGCTGTGTGGATGGGGGCCGTGAGATTTGAGCTAGGCCAGGGCTTGTGATGGAGTCTCCTGGAGAGGTGGCCCATCACTGCTAAATCATCCTACACCGAAATTGTCAGCCTTACCCCAGGCAAGGAGGGGATCCCAGCCTGTGTGGTTATCCAAGGCCAGTCCCCAGCTGGGCCTCCGGTTTGTAGCAGATTCCTGCTGGAACATGCACCTGGGGCCTCAAGGCGATGCCTGACTTAATTAAAGGGGCACCTTTGTCTCCTGGAGATGAGTGGATTAGGCCTGTGGCTTTTGAAGGTGCTGGCTGCCTCTTCTTGTCTTTGATCTGCCTCCCCCTTGGCCCTTTGGATCCTCCAGGGGAGTGGCCTGTGCTGCACTCCTGCGGGGCAGTCTGGGCTCTCCTCCTCCTTTCAGGGTCTCCTCTTGCTTGTGTGTTGAGGACAGGGCAGCAGGTGGAGAGGGGCATCGTTGTTTCTGCTACTTGTAGGTTCTTGGACTGGCCTAGTGTTAAATTGACATAAAGCGGATGAGAGAAACAGTGTTTACCCCCCCTTACCCCCCCCCCTTCAAGCAAAGCAATTTTAGTTTGGAACACATGTGCAGGTATCTCACAGAAAACATGAGGTTATTAGATAAGGGGTCTATGGTCAGCGCTTGTACAACCATCCTGAGCTTTAAGAAGTGAGTGGGTGGGGCCAGGAAGGGTCTGAGGAGTGTCTGGAGAATAAAACCACATTGCTTCCCTGATGGAGTCCTCAGGTGGCTGGAGTTGCCTCAGAGGTCTGTTTGCTCAAACCAGCCTCGTTGCTCATCTACATTTCCTTTCTAAGTATGAGTTCACTGTAAAATGAGTGCTGTTGTTGCCACTGTGTAACTCTTGGGAAATGCGGACAAATGCCTGCTATTATTATTATTATTATTAGTAGTAGTGGTGGTGGTGGTAGTGGTAGTGGTAGTAGTCGTAGTATATGCCAATGGACAACTTGCAGGAGCTGTCTCTCTTTTCTCCATTTGGGCTGTGGGGATTGAATTAAGGTTGTCAGGCTTGGTGGCAAATGCCTTTACCTTCTGTGCCATCTCTCTAGCCTGTTACTACATATGCAACATTGGGGAGGGGCCTTGTAAATCTGTTACGCTTTGGAAACTTCCTGTCAGTTACTTTTATTTTGTTTTGTTCACTTCCTGGGCTTTGCATGTTTCCTTAATTTCCTTAGTGGCAGGAGCCCACTTCCTCTCTAAGAAGGAGTATTTCTATTCAGAAGAAATAGATACACGTAGTCTTTTATCTCATCCAGTTGGAGGAGGTCAAGAGCATTTCCTGCCTTGGCTAATTCTATCTCTTTTAGCTCAAAGTAACCAGTATGTCAAAAGAGGAGTATTTTGGCGTGGCATGTTCTGGACTCCTCAGTGTCTTCTCCATATCTCTGGTACTGAGTGCATACAGTTCTTTCCTCAGACTGGTATTCCTCCCCCCCCCCGGCGGCCATCTCCATGCTTGGCATGTGTGTTTCAGCTAAGACACATGTACACACTCCTGGGCCACAGGCCGTGCAGGGGCTGTGGGGAGTGGGCACTTGCATGGCCTGAAGCTTTGTGGGCATTCTCCGCGTGCCCACATCTCCTCGGCCTTTCCCATCAATAGAGACGCTCCCTAGAGGCTCACCCCACTCTTTTGCCCTCGGAGATGGGCAGAGCTTGTACAACCATCCTGAGCTTTAAGGTCTGTGTCTTGGGGACATAGAGTGAGCAGAGATGCCAGGCATCGCCCAATCACAGCCTGGTGAGATTTTCATGGGAAAAAAAGTAATAAAACATCTCAAGTTGAGATAAGTGAAGGACTCGCAGCCAGCTGTCTCATGGGATGTGAAAAGCTTTTAGTTGCGCATGTGCTGGTCTGGAAGAGCGGGTGCTGGCTGGTGCCTCGGCTGGGATGGGCTCTGCCCCTGGGAGGTGGGAGCCATTGAATGCTGAAGCCCAGAGAAGTGATGAGGCCAGCCCGTGTCTTACCCACAAGCTTTAGCTGCTTGGTGGGGTGTGAACTGTGGGGGCCAGGGCTGAAGCAGGAGCCCTTCAAGGAGACATTAGGATGACTAATTTGATGACAGGGCACTCACTATAAAGCCCTGGTTTCCTGGAAGGAGGCGGCGGCAGTGGTGGTGGCTGGGAGAATTCTTGGGATCTGACTGTATGGAGCTTCTTGTCACTCTCCCCAAATGCAGTTTTGCTTGGTGGGGGTTGCCAAAGTGGAGATGGTGTCATGGCGATGGCTGTAAGATGAAGCCCCCCCACCTCCCCACCCCCCTCCAGCAGGGACTGGAGCCTCTCACTGACAAGGTGTAGGTCAGCTTAGGAGACTGTCAATAGGGAGGCTGCTGTTAATGGGGTTGTGATATGGTGATTTAAAGGCTGTGGTGGTGGCACATGCCTGGGGGGGGGTTCACAGCTGTTCAGTGGTGCCTTTCAGGGTCATAACTCCACACAGCTCCTGCTCCCAAAGTGCTGTCCTTGGAGGGCACAGGGCAGCGCACCCTTATGGATGGGTAGCCATGATGGGTTGGAGCTCCGTAGGACCTTTCCTATCTTCCCTGGGCCCCAATGGGTAACAGCTCTTGTCCTCTGAAGAGCAGTAGGTACATGGCAGCTTTTTAGACTCCCCTCCTGGGGGGACTGGGACTGGCCACTTGCCTACCCTGTGCTGTAGCTCAAGGTATCTGGGGGGGGGCAGCTTGTACTTTTTTATAGGACGCCTCCCCAGAGTATGCCGGCCGTGTAGATGACAGCTGCGCGGTGACCGAGGACGAAAGCCCTTGGACCAAATCCTTCACATGCCTATGGGCTGTTGAGGCTTGGAGACCTAGACAAGGGCTGGCTTACCCATGGCCCAGGGGCTGCTCCTCTGAGCCCGCCAACTTCGAGGGCTGGGTCTGTCGTGCAGAATGGGTGGAGGGGGGCTAACGAGCCCAGCTGCTCCTGCGTCAAGTCAGGTGGGGCCCAGGGTGGATTGTGGGCAGGTCCCTACGGTGGCCGGGGTACAGAGATCCGCCGTTCTCATTTTTGCCTTCTCTCTCCAGGCCTTTTCCCTCGGAGGAGACAGCTGAGAACGATGACGATGTATACCGGAGCCTGGAGGAGCTGGCCGAGTAAGTAGAGGAAGGACGATGGGGAGGGCACGGGGAAAGGAGCCCCGGGCTCCACAGTCCCAAAAGCTGCGCTCAAGGCAGAGGCAGCGATGGCTGACCTGGTTGTGATGTGGGGGTTTCTGGGTGGCTGAGCTGCAGGCATCCTTGCTTGCTATGCACCCCCTGGCTTCTGCAAGGCTGCCCAGCTGCCAGGGTAATTGCCTTGGTGTTTGGTCATGGTTGGTGGCCTTCTTGGGGTGTTTCCTTCTGTGGAGCTGCTGGGAGTGGCACTGGGCAGCTGATGTGTCCTTGTGTTCCTCTTTCCTGGCCTTTGGGTACCACACTGGGTAGGCTCTAAGCAGTGGGGCTTGTGGCTCAGACTGTCTTACGGCCCCCTGCTTAGGGCGTGGCTTGCTGGGGAGAGCTGGTTCCTATCTCTTGGTGATCCATGCTGCTCAATTCCTGTGAGGATTCCCCCCCAGGCTCCCCCAACACTATTTACAGGCGGAGGTGGGTCATTTCCCCACAGGGATGACGGACCCTTTGGCCTAGCTCTGCAGCCTGCTGCGGTAATATGAGCGGGATCATGTGGCCAGTGTGGGACTACCCAGCTCTCTGTCAGGGAAGTAGCCCACTCTGAGCCTCACTGGGATAGAGAGAGGAGCCAGACACCTCATTCTGACAGGGAGGGGCCCAGGCTGGGAGGAGCTGGGTCTGCCCAGGACTTAGTTTGTTGTTGGCAGCCCCTGGCCTGTATGTCTGCTTTTCTCCCAAGTTTGGGGCTCCTTTGGGCCTCCTGGTAAACTGCTGTCCTCATTTTTACCACATATATTGCCATGTTCTGAGAAATACATTCCTTCTGTGGAGACTCTGGCCATCTCTCTCTCTCTATCCCATTGTCTCAGTGCTCAAGCTCAGAGAGGAATCAAACGTGATGAGACTAGCGTGTTCTGAGCACCTGCTGTTTAAGGCCCCATACTGGGGTTTTCTGTATTCACCCCTCCCCCCATCTGGGGTGTCTCTAGACATGGAGCATGGTGTGTTCGCAGAGTCTCTCTTTGATGTGTCTGAACTTGTGACATTGTGGTGTGACATTGTCATCTACAGAGTTAGTGCTCAAGAGGCCTTCCCTCCCAGTTCCAATGTCTGAATCAGGTTTATGGTTTGTCTTGGGCTGCATTCATACCTGGAACTCATCCATAGCTTAGCCTGTCTGTCCTAGGTTGGCAGTCCTGTCATGCAGTGCCGTGAGAGCTGGAGATTCCTCAACTGGAGGCAAAGGGGATTCCAAAATGGGTTGCCAGGAGGCCTGGAGTGCTCCCATGGGTGGGAAGCCCAGAGTTTCTTCAGACATCTCTGGAATCCTCCGTGGTTATAGGGAGTACATTAGGAGGGAAAAGGGTTCCATGGAAATCATCCAAGGCCTTGAGTCCTTTGCCTGCTGGGTCCTACTGTGACTGATCCATCCTCAGAGTTGGAGAGGGACTTAGAACACTCGGGTGCAGGCAGAGCACCATAGGGGTACAGAGGATGGGGGGGGGGCAGATTCAGGCTGGTGGGGACAGCACAAGGGAGGTCCCCAAGGGCTTGATGTCTCTGCCCTGAATTGCTGTCTGGAATATGTGCTGTGCTTATCCTAGCTGCCTTCGCTCTGGGAAGCCTTGAGTGTTCTACCCACAGCACCTGTGCCTCTATATACTATTTTAGAGACTTTAGGTGGTTAAATGTTTCAGATGTCTCCAGGAGACTAGAAGGGTCCTGAGGGTCAGGCCCTATGACTGGTGCATCTGGTGTGACATGAGTGGCCCTGTAAGGACTGCAGTATGGGCAGTGCTCGCTAGCTACTTCGTTTGTTTTTTGGTTTTTCGAGACAGGGTTTCTCTGTATTGTTTTGAAGGCTGTCCTGGAACTCGCTCTGTAGACCAGGCTGGCCTCAAACTCACAGAGATCCGCCTGCCTTTGCCTCTTGAGTGCTGGGATTAAAGGTGTGCGCCACCAATGCCCGGTTTGGCCATTCCCAGTTTTGACTCCAAGTCTATCATAACTTCTACTCCAAGTTGGGTGATCCTATAGAGGCTGAGGAACTCTGGACTAGTGCCAAGAGTTCTCCTGATGTCTCTCCTAAGTCTTCATTCTGTATCTTCGGGAAATGTCCCTCAGGTGGGCACAGCCTAGGACTTAGAAGGACAAGGATGCTGTAGGTCTTGTGTTTCTAGGGCTAGGTATGGAATGTCATGGCATTTCAGGTCCAGTGTGCTTACCAAACTGCTGTCCTGGAGGTAGCCTGTGTATCATGGTTTGTGGGATGAATTTCAGTTTCAAGGACTCACATGTGGTGACTCTGGGCTGGAACCTGAGTACCCACCTCTCTCTTCCCCCGCCCCTTCTGGTTTGCCGCTGGTCTATCCAGAACAAGCTGGAACTGCTCTCATAGGAGTGCAAGTTGGAGAACATGCAACCTCGCTCAGCTGAAAGCTGCTCCTAGGTGACATTCACCCTGAGCCTCCTTAGTCCTTAACTTTGCAGTTACTGCAAACCTGGACTGTAAATTACAGGGAAGGAGGGTGAGTCTGAATCTCTTAAGTTGCAGTTTGGTCCCAGTGGTTCAGGTTTAATAAATTTCCTATGCTTTTTCCCCTTTCTCCTCCTTTCCTTGGAAGGCAGATTTCCTGGTACCCGTCTGTGTTTGCCCATTACACAAGCACATTGCCTGGGGAGGGCGTGAGGCAGCAGCTGGACACAGTGTCATCTTGTGGGAGCAGCTGCCTGTTGGGGGGGAACATTTTAGAGTATAAGGGACTTAATCCTCAGTAGTGATCACATTGCGTGTCTACAGGGCCCTTTCAGCCACCCTGGCCCAGACACTGCAGCTTGTGGTGGTGGTGGTGATGGTGGTGGGTGTTAAGCACTGGTCCCTCGATAGACCAGACCTGGAGCTCCAAGGAGACAGCCCCAGGGATGGTCTGTTGAGGGACCATTGCATGCAGCGAATCAGCCATGCCTTTGTTCAGTTGCTGCCTAGTTGCTGAGCCTTGTCTGTCTGTCTAGCTAGGGCCAGACCTTTGATGTGAAAGTCAGATGGCAGATGGGTCACAAGGGACAGGCAGGCTGCCTCTGTGTCCCTGGCTGAGGAATCCTGGAACTCCATGTAGCACCTGTCTGTCTTGGAGGCTTTACAGTCCCACAGCACATAGGCTAGCCTGAACAGAGCCACCTTCTGTCTCATCTGCTTGGGCCATTCAGGCCGAGCCCTAGCACTGTCATTTCCTGCTTATGTGGCCTTGGCAGGTTGCTTGCTTCGATGCACCTCAGTTTCCCTCTTTGTAACACATGACATCAGTACCTGCACAGTGGGTCTGCTGGGAAGACAGCATCCCTGGCAGGTGTGGAGTGAACTACAGGGCACTCACGGGCACCATGAGCCCCTGCGGGCTCCCACCCAATCTGCCCCCTGCCCGAGACCGTCTCCCTCCCTGGCTTCTAAGTGGCCGTGGCAGCGCTGTGTGGAGGAAAACAAACATGGGTTATATATGCCTGACTGCTGGGTTCCTAGTAGCCACATCAGAAGCGCAAGAGGAAACAGGTGAAGTTAATCTGAAGAATGTATTTTATTTGAACTGATTGACCCAGAATGTTTTCCACAGAACAGCTGCCAACAAGAAATTGCATTTTCAGTCAGTCCCCTGGCTGGGCATATAGCTTGTGATTGGCCCAGATCTGTTTGTTACATGACAACCGTGCATGGCCCTGAGCCACTGGGCTGGGGTAGGAGCTGTGGTCTCAGATGCCTGTCTGGGAGCTTGAGCAGAAAGAACCCCACACTCGAGGAGCACTGGAAAAGCTCTCAGCTCCCTCTTCAAATCGTTAAGTGATGTGTGATCAAGCAGTCAGAGCAGCTGGCTGAGCCGACCAACACAGAACACTGCCACTTAAAAATGTCGTTATTAAGCAAAATAAGCCCAAAAGGAAAGGCCTTGCTTTTCAGTAGCTCTAAAATGGGTACCTGCATTTGCATAATGGCTTGCCTCTGGAAGTGTCCGATCCCACCTCTCAGACCTGCCCCCCCCCCCCAGTCCACTTCTGCAGGACTGGTGGCCGCTTTGTACAGAGGTGTGTACAAAGAGCAGTGTGTACATGTGAGGTGCAGCAGCCAGGACCCTGGGGTGGCAAAGGTCTGGCTTTGTGACATTGTCTTCCTCTTGCCTTTCGGGGCTGTCTGTGCCCCGGTGACGTGGCTGGGGCATTTCCAGGAAAGCAAGGGTGTGCATCCCCATCGGGCTGTGTAACTCTCCTGGCAGTGCTCGGTTACTGCCTCAAGTGTCTTGGTTTCCTCCGAGGGCCTCAGTTTCTCTGTCTCCGCTCTGAAACCTGCACAGATGTCCCTTTGAGGTCACAGACTCAACAGTCTGTCACAGCAGAGCCTGCTTTGTGCTGGCTCTGGCTTCATTGCCCCCTGAGGTGAATTAGTTTTCAGCCTTAAACAAATGGGCTCGTGCCAACCAGGGACTGTAACTTTTCTGTTATGTTACATATTTTATTGTGTAGCTGCATATTTTATTGCCTTAGAAAACAGCTTTGCAAAGTAATTCTTAAGGTATGTAAATGAAGGAGGTTTGGAGCCCTTCTGTGCCCTGGGGGAAGTTGAGGCACAGAGGTGGTGGCAGGGATGGCAGTGACTACCACCTGACCCCAGAAAGCGCCAAGCCTTGGTCATTCTGCAGTGCTCTTTAACAGCAGAGAGCAAGGGCTGTATCCCTGTGGGACCCTCATTCAAGTGGAAGCCCATCTCTATCCCAGCCCATGGTCCTGCTCAACACTGTCAGAGAAAGTTTAAAATCTGTCTTCAGAGTTTTCAAGTTCAGTGCTGCTCATCGAGGCCTGTGTGTGCAGGATCCCTGGCTGTGCAGAGCCTGGGGTGAGCTGGGAGACATACGTCTGGGATGTTCACCGCAAGTAACTTTTCCCCGAGAGGTGAACTTTAAAGTAGACTGCACAGAAAAGACCCAGTGAGGGCAGGCACA